ATATGTCCTCTTCTAGTAGAAGTGTTGCGCATGTAACTACCATTGATGACCCACGGAAGTGAATTGATTGGACCCAGCATCATATTGAAGAGTGCGATGGAGGTAAACACCTAGTGCAAAGGTGGGTAGGGTTTTAAGGTTTTCAGTCCGGCACAGGCCTATGTGTACAATGACTGAGTGTAGAGGGACAGTACAACTATACACTAACTGTGTGGCCAGGGGTTTGTCAGTCGCAGCAGTGTGTACATAGCAAGCATTGTAGCTCCCTCTGAGAAAGGGCTGAGGAGTGTTGAGCTGCAGAGCCTCGAGTGAGCTTGTGGTATGGGCGAAGCATATGTGTTAGCTATATATATACACGTGCGTAAAGTATTAGCTATAAATTGGTACTCACTGTATACCAATGATGTACAATAGCCTGTCACACACGTGCCAGTCATAAACATGGACCTCGCTAAAAACCCTAAACCCTGAAACGCTGGAGACACAAATAGACGGAACTACACCGCTGATTGCATATGCGCATACGGATGTGCAAGCATGCTTCCAAAGTGTTTATGTGACTAGGAATGTTCCACGCAAGTATCTATACGGATCATGCACGCACACACACGTACATAAGCACACATCCCTTAAACCCCCGGCACACCGCATCAAAGCCCAGGCTCTACCCACACACATCCACACGGTTGCCATGGTTACCTGTGCCGAGTCCAGCTGCCCGCCCAGCCGCACGTACACCGCAAACGTCACCAGGCTCATCACTACGGGTGTGGAGGCCCAAAAGTACACACACAGCGCATCTAAGTACTTGCGTTGGGTCAGATACCTCAGCTCCTGCGACCGCACCACGCGAATGCGATTGACCATAGACCGACCCAACGTCTTCAGCTGTGAGGCGAGGGTTATAGAGGCCAGAGACATGGAATACACACGTGTGGTGAGTGTCCATGCATTGGGGTAATACACTATGGACCGTGGAGTGTGGTAGTGTGGGAGCGTGAGAGTGTGAGAGTGTGGGAGTGTGGGAGTGTGGGAGTGTGGTTGTGTGTGTATATAGTAAGTAGAGCTCACAATATAGTAAGCCGTCGCCCCATTCTTAGCCCATCCATACTACCGTAGGTTACCCCATCACCCTTGTGCCACTAGGTGTTCCCTACATATCAGTACGTGTGTATAAGCGCAGTCACACCCAAGTGTCCGCCACCACACCCAAACGGCCACTCAAGAGCAGTTCGGTACTCACAACTCATACCTTGATGAAGTATGCATTGTGTAGTGCTGCGCTGGTCAGAGCCACCCGCACATCCTTCTTCTGCATGAGATTCTCACTGAGACGCCCAATGCGCACGGCAATCAAGCGGTTGGCAGGGGCCAAAAGAACGGCCAAGATCAGCGCGGCAAAGGTCGCCACACCCAGCTGCTGGTACAACAGAACTGGGGTGGGTTGGGTTTGTTTCGGTTAATATAGCACACGTGCACAAGTCTAGAACTGAGTTGGGTTGGGGTTGTACTGATGAGTATATGCTAACAATGTGACACACATATGACAGCTAACAATGTGACAACTTGTCGAATGAGCTGTGCGATGTGTAGGCAGTAGGTCCTTGTGGGATTGTGTTGGTACCAATGAGCAGGGTTGCAAATGCCATACTTTCCTGCACATGTGCATACAAGTTCTGTGTGCGTACAAATGCATGGCCCCATGATCCGTCCAGGACAATTATAGTCCTGTTGGTGAGATATTGGTGCCACGCCGTGACGTCACACAGGTGCACTTAATCCACATACCCGTGCCCACAACAATCTGGATGGGTAAGCTCCACAGCTCATGGAAACTCGGGAAGAAGTTCAGGAGCCTATCAATGTCTGTGCTGGTCAGGTTCAGGACCTGTCCTGGTGTGAATTCTAAGCCGAGATTGGGACGGATCAAATTAGGTTTTTGATTAGAACCAACGACTGCGTTGCGAACAACGACGTATGTGCTGTTATGGTGAGACTGTTATTGAATCGGTTTTAGGTTTCTTTTGGACGAGAGATTCAAATTCGGGTGCTCGAACTATATAAAACATTGCCGCAGAGATTGTGGTAGGGAAAGTGAACTGGAAGATACCTTGCTAAAACCCTTATACTCCAACACTGCCCCCAACGTGCAACTTTGTCACGAAATATAACCGTTTTGTGGAGACGTCTACAGACAGACGCCCTTAGCTATTGTATGTCTACATATCCCTACGCACACAAGAAACCTGCATCTGGAATGTAGGTAAAATGCACCGCCATAGTCGAATGCATGATGCACACCGGGCACACGTA